TCTATATTTTGTTTTTTGGTGACCTGACCTGACCTGACCTGACCTTGACCTTGACCTCTGAATGATATTGTATGCAACTAATATTGTCTTGGTAGCCTAAGAACACGTTTTGGGCGATCAGTCTCAGTCCATGACTCCATTCTTCGGCAACTACGGTGCAAGGCCGATACTGTAGAAACTTGCAATTTGTACCCTTGACCTGACCTTGACCTTGACCTCAAACTTTAAATTAAGTACATGTTTTTAGTAGTTCGTGATGAGAGCTTTCGATTGGCGTTTGAATTTTCCAAATCGGACCATTAGTTCGGGAGATAACAGGGGGGGTAAAATTTACCCCCCCCCCAGCCCCGCGCGTTCGGCTGGAGACCCCAGCCCCGCGCGGGTTAAGGTAAAGATGCTTGATATTTGAATCATAAGACAATTCATTCCGCAAATTATTAAACAAACTCAGTACCTTTGAGTCATGCCTTGAATCAATCAAACCAAAAATGTGGTTGGGTCACAGGCGCGGATACAAGGGGGGGCCATGGGGGCCATGGCCCCCCCCCTTGGCCGATTTTTTTTCAAAAATAAAATAAAAAGTTAAAAAGTTAAAAAGCTGAAAAGGGGGCCTCCTGAAAATAAAGTGGCCGAAATCCGATGAGTTTTTTTTTTAACCTACCCACTTAGTTATTTCTTAGAAGACTAGCTGAGAAGACTTCTTTGTTAGAAGATTGGTAAAGCTTTTCATAACTTGGAGGTCTCTTATACTCACAGAGATGACCACTTTTACAGGGCCTCCTAACCTGCACAGAGGGCCTCCAAGCCTGCACAGATGTTGAGATGTTGCCTGAACAGCTAGATAAGCTCAATAGACGCAGTTTTTTTTGGGGGGGCCCAACAAGTGGGAAGATGGGGCCTCCAACAGGTGGGATTATGGGGGGGGCCTCCTGGTTTCTAATGGCCCCTCCCTTGGAGATTTTCTGGATCCGCCCCTGTTGGGTCAAGTCATGAAATGATTCAATTTATTTTATAAATCCCTGAAATCAGGAGTTGAATCAAATCGTTTAACTGAAATTGGTAACTACAAAACAAATTAACTTAAGAGCACGCAGCAATCAGGTAGGTACAGGGACCCGCAGTTGCTACTGTACACATATATTACCAAGTTAGAATTGCGCTATTATTTGCTAAGCGCTGGCATTTGGAGAAAGGAAATGTAGCGCAAAGTATGGAGGAATACCACATGTTTGCTCCTAGGACGTAGGTTTTGTCTAATTCCTCTTACCGCCACAGATATTCTTCCAAAACTACAATCGTGCTATTTTTCCACGCCGGTTGCCTCCCCAGAGCTCATCCTTGGTATCGCCTATAGCTTCCGTTCCCGCTACGTGAATGAAAGTCACGTGACTACTACAGGTTTGCTCTCAGTACTAACACACCTAGCCCGAGGGCCGGTCCGTAGCGGGGAGGTGTAGAACGCCTGAGCTCCAGCGCAGTGGAGGTGGTGGTGGCCCGTATCATAAAGAGGCAACCGTAAGCAGAACTACAATTGCCGCAGTATAAGATTATGATCAAGTTTTCCTTAACCCGCGCCGGGCCGGGGGGGGTGTTTGAACACCCCCCCTTGCGGTTTTTCGCAGATATCTCAAAAACGGCGGCGCGGAGCGCCGCCGTTTTTGGCACACCTGTTCGTGCATCTTTTACGCACATGTTGTGAAAATTTCAGACCCAGGTCACCTTAGGTCAGGTCACCAGGTCACGCCAAGTGACCTCACCTCAGAAAAAAATAAGAATGCTCGTCATAGCTACACCGACTGAACGATTGCCTTGAAACTTTCAGCGATTGATTAGAGCAACACTATCTATAAAATGTATATCTCGGAATTTTGATATCGGTGACCTAAGGTCAGGTCAATTTTGCGGCCTCTCCATTATAAGTCAATGGGAGAAAGTTGAAAAACGCCTGTTTTGCACGAACGCTATTCTAGACACTCTCAAACATCGAGATGTAGGTAAAATAGACACACTGAACCAGAAAATGGCAACTGTGACCCCTCGTTATGTCCCCGAGGTCATCTCAGGTCATGAACAGAATCTAACAGTTTTTCGATGATAACTTCTGATAGAGGCGTGCTAGAGCGCTGAAAACGCCTTAGATGTGTTCGGCTCGACGTTGCGGATCGACTGATATGCAACATGACCTTTTCCGGTCGGGTCATGACCTTGACCTGAGGTCAAATTTTCAAGTTGACCTTTCAAGGTCAAATTATAGTTCATTCGACGCGTCTCGACGAGAGGAACACGATGCTGGCAAAAGTAATGTCATAGCTCTTTTGAGTCAAAAGTTATTGCCGACAAAACGTTTTTCGTAAAAACGGCTATTTTTGGAGTTTTTGCCCTTTGGAGGCTAAACCGTTGACCTGAGGTCAAATCTGAGAACATTACTCAGAAAGGTCTGTAAAAGGGCTATCGAATGCGCTTTTTTGCGGCGCTGTAGCTCATATCGGTTCCCGAGATAGCCGTTGGCAGTTTGCAAAATGTTGAAATAGTCAACATTTTACCTTTGGTGACCTCTGGTGACCTGACCTTTGACCTGACCCAAAAAATGACCGAAGTGTTTTCGTCCTTATTTTTGACGTTCTTTCGATTGCCGCTTACCGCGTGTCGCTACGTGGCCCAGGAGCCGAGTTAGAAGGGGGGGTGTTCAAACACCCCCCCCGCGGCCCGGCGCGGAATTTCAGAGCACCGGCCCGGCGCGGGTTAAATGTAGTTTTCCTTAAAATTTTGACGATCGGCCCAGTAATTTTGGAGTTAGGAGGGGGGCTATGGAGAGCCCACCAGTAGGGCGTGTTATACGCAGACCCCAGTGGGGCGCGGGTTAAGTGCTACAACCACTAAATTTTGCTCAAACATTGCCTAGGTATTCATTTGAAGCTACGTTGAGTTTCACGTTCGTAGCTTATCAGGTTTCGGAGATATTCCGCAGAACGTAAAGGGGGGGGGGGCAACTTTATGCCCCCCTCAGCGCCTCGTGGGTTAAACATGCATAAGGGCTACAGTCTGACCGTCGAGGCCCTCGAGGTGGCCTCTGATGGTCCAACGCCAGCCTCTGAGGGCCCAGCGCCAACCTTAGACTTCAGAGGACAGAGGGCCCCACGTTAACCTAAGAGGGCCTACATTGTCCTTAGATAGCCCCAAGCTGAGCTGTTCCCAGTGGGCCCCAATCTGGCCTCAGAAGACCCCACGCCGCTGGTCTTAGAGGAACCCACGCTGCCCTTATATTACCCCACGCTGGTCTAAAGGGCTACGCACTGGCTTCTTTGGGCCCCACGAAGGTCCCAAAGCGGACTCTAAATGACCATGCTAGCCTCCGACGGCTCGACTTCGGCTTCTGAGGGCCCTACGCTGACCTCCAAACCTTTGGTAGAAGTTTGTTTAGACATGTTTACGGATGCTTAACTGATTAACCAGGATTTTGATAGGGGAGATCCGTGTAAGACGCCCAGGGTCGGTAAGAGGCCCCATCGCTTTTTTTACCAAACCAATAATGTTATTTATTTTTTAATGTTCTTGTAAAGCAGAAGCCCTCTTGAAACAACAACTCACGAAACCTGAGGTATCAGGTGCGTCGCAGCGACTTTTGGTAAGCCTGTTTCTGTTTTTGCCCCTTTACTTGCTAGATATATGCATCTTTATCACCCTTATATATCTGAAAAAACAATGGCTATCAAATGCAATCTTTTCTCATCGAAATTGTCACATGTTAGCTTCAGAATAGACCACGTTCTGGTGCGCTGCAAATGTCTCATAAACCATAAATATTGTGGACGTTAAAACACTGTATTTTTTTAAGAGGCCCTCCCTTCGAGGATGATAAAACGCCCCCCGATAAAAAACGCCGCCGATGCTAAAACGCCTGCACCTGCGGCAGGCGTGGCATTCTTTTTTCAAGGAGTTTGTTTTTGTTTCTTTTTTCTGTTTCTTTTCTTAGAGGTTATAGGTACAATTTTCGTTGGTCATCAGCGTTTGGTTGTGCTAGTTTTCGCATTGTTCGAGCGCTTTGGAAGTGTTATTGGTTTCGATAACACCGTATTTGCTTAGCTTTTCGAAATAAAAGGCCTTGCAGCTGTGTTCGCAAAGCGTCTTTTACAAGTCGACTTGACTTTTAAAACGCCCGAGGGGGGGGGCGTCTTACCATACCCATAGTGTAAGAGGCCCTTTTGCAACTTTTTCCAAAATGTTAAAGTTTACGGTTTGTGTACCCCCTAGATTCATTTTGAATGCAAATATGTATGGGAAAATGATGCATGCTCACAGCGCATGCACACGTTAGCGCTTAAATATTATCAGTTGTCTAAAAATAGTAACTGAGCTTAAGGGGGGGCCTCCTGCACCACTCTCCCCTATACCTTTACCTACGGTATATGGTATGTATGTTAGGTGTGGTGTAAAGGTCCGCTTATACGGTGTATATTAGGTGGTATATTATGACATTGTGGAGTCGGGTTTGTCCCCATCTGCCCAGTCGAAATTCCTTAGCCGAGGTCCTGCTGTGTGACTGTGTCAGTCCTGCTGTGTGACTGTCTGTATCCTATACATCCTATCCATCCTAAACACCCTATACATCTGGTGTTTCTCAGTGCATTAGGAGGTAACCGCCAGAGGTCGTACCAGCCCCTCTACCCTCACCGTCCGCATTATGAAAAAGGCCCGGCCAAGGGTAAACATACGTAGTAATAACGTTTCTTTATTATCTCATTTTTTTGCGAAAAACTAATAACGATAGAAAGTTTCTATAGTGGTTACCAGTTTGCGTGCCTGCCAAGCTTGTTTGTCCGGTATGCAGCAATGCGGGTTACATGACAAAACATGTCGTAATACGTAATGACATGTCGTTTTGTGACGTGATTAGACACGACGCTGCACGACATGTCGTAATGCGTACGACGTAACGCTACGTACTAGGCCACTGATTTATGATGAGTAGAAACGTAAAAAACTGTAATTCTGCGTTCCAGATGGAGATGACAGATGTGAGTGAAGACCTGGCCGCCCTTCGCCGGGAGGTGTCCGCCCTTCGTGAAGTGGTGTCCGCCCTTCGTGAAGAGATGTCCGCCCTTCGTGGAGTGGTGGCCCCCCTTCGTGAAAAAGTGACCATTCTAAACGAGGTGGTGGCAAAAGACAATAAGGAGACAAAGAAGCTCAAGGGGGAGTACGTCGCACTTCACGATGCGATGGTCCGCCTGGAGCAGGCAGTGGTCGAAGAGCGGACCACTCGCCAGACCGTGGTGGAGGATCTGCGGCAGGAGGTCCGCCGGCGAGCGGCGCCATCCGGCCGTCCCCAGGGGTGAGACTGGGAGGCAGCAGGGGTTGCTGTGGGGGCTGAGATATTTTGGAGAGCTGTCATGGTGAGAAGTAAACTTTCTTTGTAGAAGGTGTAAGAAATAAACCACCACTAGGTCTTTGAAGGTCGAGTAGCTTGTAATTGTAATTTCCGCCCAATTAAAGAAACATGCCTTGAATTCGTACCATCTTCTGCAAGTTAGCCGTTTAGTCTCGATCGTATTGTTCCAGCTTTCGACAGACGTCCTGCAATCTGCATAATGTTGGCCAGTTCGGGGCATTATATCCCGCACGTATTTACATGTCGTCATCAGCAATCGTGTCACAAAATCTAATCGGTCGTATCAAATCATTCAGATTCGTATGAAATCAACTCTGAACGATTTTATTCAACCGAATAGATTTGACAACATACTGTTGCTGACGACGATATGTAGGGGAGAGAGGTCATATTGCGCCATGTTCTTAAATGCGCCACACCTTCCTCCTGTCCAAAATTCGATTCGAATGAATGCTCGAATGTGTGCATTTACTTCACCACCAATAACTCGCTCTTATTCCGGTCCACGGGGGCAGGTGAGGTGTCTCAGCTTTCTCGCAGACCATTTTTTTGTGATTTCCTCTATTTTCTTACGCGAAACAGTCTATTTCGACCTTTGCTAGTGTCATGGTTTATCTTAGAGATAGTGATTCAACTAATAATCATTGTTAATTGCTCGTTTAATGGTAGTTTTGAAAGTTTATCATCACCGTGGCTTCGCTGTCCTCGCCATATTTGAAGCTCATGAAAAATGTGTTCCAACCGTAATTGCGTCCACCCTATTTGCGCACTATTCTTCAGCCCAGAGAAACAGCATCTTGTGGTTGGGACACATTTCATTGAACACTTTGAATATTAGAGCGCTCACCTTACCATTACCTTAGCCTTCACAGCATAAATGGTTAATGGGCTGACACGTCCAAATAGGCTACTTAGTTAGGTGGCAAACCGTTGTTTTTAATAGGGCGCTTTTACATGAGAGGCATGGGCGCTTTTTGATGGGGTAGTCCGTAAATGCGCCCTTTGCAGGTGTGTCGGAAAACTTTTCTCTTGTTATTTTTTATGGGTGTGATACAAATTAGGAGTTGTAATTTGATGCCAAAATAACTGAGGTACAATTTGAGATATCATCAAGCATGACAGCTGGTCAACTTTAGCCGCAATAGGCCGATATCCTTAACCCTATTAGTGGCAGGCTCCTGGCTACCTCTATTAGTGGCAGGGGGGCTGTTTACGACCCCCCCCCCTGATATCTCGAGATCTAACGGGCCGATTTTCAAAATTCAAACGGCATTCGATTTCGCTCCACGTGATCTCATTTCTAAAAAATGAAAATAAAAAAATGTCAATAGGGGGGGGAAGGGGGGGTAAAAACGGGCAAATTGCAGATACATTTTAGACTGTTTATCACGGCCAGGTTTCTGAACCAATCTTAACGCAACTTTTGCCCATCGATAGAGAATGAACCAGGAATTCACATGGATCCTAAAAATATGCATTTTCAAAAATCATAGGCGGATACAGATCATTGAGATTGGGGGTACACAAAAAGTATAGTAAATAAGGTTTTTGTTGGTACTGTTTCTAAAAAGGGTGGTAACTAGGGTGACCCGCGTGCTCCGCAACGCGAAGAAGGGTTATTTTTGACCCGTGGGTATTGGGTTGGTCTGTGTCGATCTGGTTGGCATCCATTTCGTTCGATTGCTTTTTGACGGCCAAGCATTTTGTAATAAAACAAAAATGATACATCGCATCGAGGTGCCCGTTTCGTATTATCATGCGTTCTACTTAAGAATGATTCGGAAACTGGCGTGAAGTCTTTTGAGGACCATCGATGAATTTCGGTAAAAATGACTATGTAGTGGTTTGAAACATTTGCATTTTTAAGAATACTCTTGCTCATCATGTAAAAATAAAGACTGAACCTTGGACAGAATTGAATGCTCTTTCCAACGGTGCCATTTTTAAGTGCCAAAGGTATCAGATTATGGAGCAAAACCATTTTGATAAACAAAGTGGCACAAAATTGACAAACACCATTTTATCCCGTGATTCGTACCACCTTGATTTGGATCAATCAGCTTTTCACAATTTTTATATGATAGGCGGTACATTTCTCTTGCCAACAGGCGTTGTTCCAACTCGCTCTGTTTAACGGTCACCTAAAAATAAAATCAATTCCAAAATCCGCCCAAAACCGCAATTTTTCAACAAAAGTGCCCTCCCCGGTGCACGTGGCGCGTGCTATCCTCTGTATCGCACACCATTCAATTGCCCATTCAATTATCTACACGATGCTGTTTTCCCCATGCCGGTCGGACCCCTGGTCACCAAGATATTGCGCCGGAACCGGACCCGTGTCGGCCAAAGTTAGCCGTTTTCGCCCGATTTCGCACGCCGATTTATACATGTAAAGTCTATGACGCGAATTTGCACTTTTTGAGCACGCGTCACGCGCTCCCTATCAATCCGATCGAGCCCAGACCCCTCAAAGGCACGTCGCGCATCCTTGATCTATAGGTTGTGCAAATTTCACCGGGCTAAGTGCAACGGTCTGGCCTGTAGTCCACGCAAAGCACCACCAAGTCGGGACCTCGGTAACGGACAGACGCACCCTCCTCAAATAGTAATATAGATGGTCTTGTTATGTTAAATTTTCTTATGAGAGAACGACTACAATTGTATTGGTCATGCATAGGCGGTGTCAGGGCACCTATGTTGGGAGGTAAAACATGACCCCCCTTTTTGGACGCCTGGATCCACCTATTATAGCAAAAACGTGTCAAAAGGGGATGCACAATAATTTTTTATATGTTATCACATGATACCTTTCATTCACTGTTCGTAAAACTGGTGCAGCATCGTGATCTTCGCCCAAATGACTCGCTTCACGAATAGGACCCCCCCCATTCCCAGTGCTCTGGAGCTGCCCCTGGTAAAGTTATGAACTTGAAATTTTCAGGGAATGTGTCCACTTTAGTTTTAGGAAAAGTCAGAAAATTTCAGCATCGTAGCTTCAGCGGTTTCGGAGATATTCCCGAAAAAAAAAACTGAGGGGTGGATGAAAACAACCCCCCCTGCCACTAATAGGGTTAAGGTGGCGCAATATGACCTCTCTCCCCTACCTAAATGCATATCGGATCATCAAAGGAGCCAAGTAAAGTTGTGAACTTCTTTTGCATTTTGATTTATGTTCCTTTTTTCTTGTCTTTTCAGTAAAATTACAAAAGCGTTTCATGACGTCACGGTACAGACGGAGCCGCAGCCACCGGCAGACAGCGATACCACAGTGCTGAGAGAGGCGCTAAGGACCGTGACGACGTTCGACGCTCCGTCAGCCCTTGGCGAGGACCAGCTGACGGCGCTCCTGCAGAGTCTTCCCCGCTTGGAGGAGCTGACCGTCAGGGTGCCGTCCTTCGGAACGGGGCGGTGGCTGCGGCTGCTGCCGACGTCACTGAGGACGCTATACGTTGCCGGTAAGAATATGTTGAGGAAACGCGTACTATTACTTGTGAATGGTGGTAGGTACTTACATGGTACATAAAGTAACAGTTTCAGTGATATACGTTCAGCGGACATATGTGTGCCATGCTACCTACATGCTACACCAATATTAGCCACTGTATTGTAGATACCTACTTTATACTCTTGCAAACGAATATGACCTGTATGTACTGAACCTGTATGACCTGTATGTACTGAACTGTATTAATTAACTGATGCATGTATAAGCGTAGTGCATGCATTGTGCACTATGTTCAATTACTGTCCAACAGTGAGGCTCGAACCTGGCTTTGTCAGTGTCGTCTGTGTCAGGGTTTGACACCACAGTGTCAGCCGCCTCCCGACCCGGCAGCAGCTCCGTCCGACTGCAGTCAGCTGACACAGCTCTGTCTGACAGGGCCGGAGGTGACGAAGCCGAGGTGGCCGGGATGGTACGGGAATGGTCTGTCGGTATCTCTCCAGGGGGTGGCTGCCGATACCATCAGTCACCTGGCCACGGAGCTGGGGTCTCGGATTACGCTACTTGTCACGGATGGTGAGCAGCGGTTGAAATTACTCATATATGAATGGCTAGGAAGGGATAAACCAACAGTAGCTGTTCCGGCGCTCAGCGTTCGCTGGCTGTGACGTCACGGCCACCCCGGCGGCCCGCGGCCCGGTTGACCTCCAGTGACCTTGAGACGCGCTGCCGGGCGCGTCAGCTGATTGTCGGCGGTGCGCGGCGACCCCAAACGCTGTCGGACTGGTCAGGTGCAGGTGGCGCTGCCGGGCGCTCCTGAACGGGGCAGGGGGCTATACGAAGACACGAAGAACAGGAAAACAGGCCGGCGGCACAGCTCTTTGCTTGTTATTTTTGCTCTAAGGAACTGTTTTTTTTTTTTGCAAATGTTCATAAATAACGTGGAGAAGCAGTTTATCTCTGAAAATCTGAAGCCTAAATCAAACCAAGAATAACTGGATACAACACATATTAGTTACATGTACTGCAGGTAATGCTGTCTCATCCTAAGGTAAGACGGAAGCCATAAGCCATGGTAAGCCGTAGGATGACAAGTCGTGTGGTGAATGGTGCTGGTCAATGGTTTGGGCCTGTATTGGACATAATATTTACGCTACAAAATTTATAACGATACAAAATTGAAATAATTAGCTACTCATAAGAGCTGAACAAAATACTTATGTGAAAAGTTTTCAAAAGCTGTCAGATTGATCAATTGACATCAATAAAATATGCCTAGTTCGGAATATAGGGGAAAGTGGGGTAAGACGGTCAGGGCAGATAAGACGGCCACCCTTTCTTCAGAACAAACCAATAGCGCTACGAGCGAGAAAAAATTAGGACCAGAATTGCCTTTCCCACTACACACCACCATTGAAGTCTGGTGAATTTGTGTTCAGTCGATAATCTTTTATTTTGATTTCTTTAACCCGCGCACCGTTGGGCTCTGCCGAGCAACGCGCCCTGTTGGGGGGGGGGGGGGGGGCATTTTGGCCCCCCCCCTAAGATCTCGAGAACCACGCAACCTAGCGACAAGCGGCAAACGGTGTTGGATAGCCCTATCAGGGAACTACCTTGTGACCCAATTTTATTGACCTAGGTCAAACCGATGACGTCACAGGTCAGGTCAAAGGTCGAATTTTCACCGTTTACAGGCATTTCAAGAAATGCGTTGTAAAATCGAGTAAAATGCATTTCATTGAAAATCATCGATGGGGAAATGTTCTTCAAACACATATTTTGCTATTTGAGGTCACTGTTACCAGATCAGGTCACAGAGGTCAGGTCACTGGGGGGTCACAATATGAAAGTGTCGTGTGATACATATTTTATGGTCCATTTTACATGACAAATGCGATTATGTAGGTAAGGCAGCCTTTAAGGCCAGCTTAGGTCACGTTTCGGTCAAAGTCAGGTCAAGGTCAGGTCAAATTAGGTCAAATTTCAAAGTTAATATTTTTGCATAAAATGGGTATCGAATCGATGCAGCTCGTCACGGGGAGTTCAATAGTGGTCTTTGTTTTGCCGTACGTGGTCTAGAATCGCTAAAAATTGAGTTAAAAAATTTGACGTCATCATTTTTGAACAGTTTTTTCGCTATAACTTGGCCAAAAAACGAGATATCGATCTGAAATTTGGTATGTGTATAGAAAAGCGCAGGGACTTTCACATATATTCCGTTTTTTCGAAATTCGGAAAATTTTTGGTTTTTTTTTTTGTTTTTGAAAAAAAAAATCATTTTTTGTTTTTTTTTTGGTCAAAATCCAAAATTTTAAAAATCCGAGATTGCAGTTTTGTAGCGCCGCTTTTTGTCTACTAGACCATATAAAGAACTTTGAAATTTCTTGATAACTGTAGATTTGGTGAGCGTTTCAAGATTGCATGTTTTTTGCTCATTTTTGCTCGAACATGACCTCAGTTTGACCTCAATAACTCCTGACCTAAGGTGAACTAAGACTTGAAATTTGGTGTGAAGGTGTCGAATTGATGCCCGGGAAGGTACTGAAAATTTAGCGGCGCGCTGCGCCGCCGTTTTCTTGCTATTCAGGACAAACCACAGGGGGTGGCCAAAATGCCCCCCCAACGGGGCGAGGGTTAAAACACTCATTTCATTGAAAACATCCATGATGTATTGTTGAAGGTTTTGTGTGCAGCACTATAGAGTTAAAAACTTGCAATCACCTGTGGTACACTCATATGTAACCGGTGTTAATCCAGAATTGGAGGATCAAAAGCATGCGATAGCATGCTTTTGCATCCGGAAATTCCCATTGGTGGGTCGCTGAAGAAAAGTTCGGCCAAGCCTGTTTGTCAGTATGTGAGTGAGTATGTGAGTGAGTATGTGAGTGAGTTTGTCCAAGCCTTTTTGGACCTGGAGTCAAAATGGGTGGACCGATCGGGACGAAAGTGGGACCGTTCGACTCGTCTCCGGCGAGGTAAACTTTTGGTACTGGCCTCGGTTCGCTCAGTGCTTCGTGGCACATGCTATTCCGCTTCAAAGTTTCGGTGACACGAAATTTTTTTGTCAAGGCTACAGGTCAACCCGAGATCACGGACAAAGCCACACTGGCGGGACACATCGGTAACACCTTGAACCAGTTTCCAGGGGGGTCACCGTCTGCGAGGGATGCAGGCTGCACGTGCTGGGGGCGGAAAACCGTTTTGACGTGAGGTCCTCTGGCTCAAAGAAATTTTGAGCTATCAACCTCAAAATCGGTTCAATGGTAGTCTCAGGCAAGGCCTCCAAAATAGTGCACATTTGGTTGAGCTAAACTCTGTGGTGCACGAGCTAGGTACGTGCAAGCCGATTGCACCCCTTCGTGCGTTGCCACGCCTGCAGGGTAAACGGCCGCTCTAACTGGTTCAAAACTTGCAGGTCATAAGAAGAATACATTGAGTCGTAACATTCCGGCGAGATAATATCCCAGGGGTGCAAGCTGCGCGTGCGGGGGGCGGATAACGGTTTTGACTAGGGATCCTCTGATCCCGGGAAACGTCGATCCAGCGACACAAAAGTCGGTACACTGATAGAACTAGACACACGCTACATGATGTTATGAAAATGACTGCACTGGGGTGCCTGGGACATGAACTATGCACGTGCAGTTAATTCATACCATACTGTAGGAAGATATCCGCACCAATCTCACGTGCTTCGAAGCATTTTTGGGATGTTTCGTTTGGTTTCAGGTTCAGTCCAAGCTCAGTCTGGGTTTCGGTGGTTTGGCCCGGTGTGTGCCCTCAGTACCGTTCCTCCAATTCTGGCCCAAGGCACCCAGAATTGGAGGATCAAAAGCATGCGATAGCATGCTTTTGCATCCGGAAATTCCCATTGGTGGGTCGCTGAAGAAAAGTTCGGCCAAGCCTGTTTGTCAGTATGTGAGTGAGTATGTGAGTGAGTATGTGAGTGAGTTTGTCCAAGCCTTTTTGGACCTGGAGTCAAAATGGGTGGACCGATCGGGACAAAAGTGGGACCGTTCGACTCGTCTCCGGCGAGGTAAACTTTTGGTACTGGCCTCGGTTCGCTCAGTGCTTCGTGGCACATGCTATTCCGCTTCAAAGTTTCGGTGACACGAAATTTTTTGTCAAGGCTACAGGTCAACCCGAGATCACGGACAAAGCCACACTGGCGGGACACATCGGTAACACCTTGAACCAGTTTCCAGGGGGGTCACCGTCTGCGAGGGATGCAGGCTGCACGTGCTGGGGGCGGAAAACCGTTTTGACGTGAGGTCCTCTGGCTCAAAGAAATTTAGAGCTATCAACCTCAAAATCGGTTCAATGGTAGTCTCAGGCAAGGCCTCCAAAATAGTGCACATTTGGTTGAGCTAAACTCTGTGGTGCACGAGCTAGGTACGTGCAAGCCGATTGCACCCCTTCGTGCGTTGCCACGCCTGCAGGGTAAACGGCCGCTCTAACTGGTTCAAAACTTGCAGGTCATAAGAAGAATACATTGAGTCGTAACATTCCGGCGAGATAATATCCCAGGGGTGCAAGCTGCGCGTGCGGGGGGCGGATAACGGTTTTGACTAGGGATCCTCTGATCCCGGGAAACGTCGATCTAGCGACACAAAAGTCGGTACACTGATAGAACTAGACACACGCTACATGATGTTATGAAAATGACTGCACTGGGGTGCCTGGGACATGAACTATGCACGTGCAGTTAATTCATACCATACTGTAGGAAGATATCCGCACCAATCTCACGTGCTTCGAAGCATTTTTGGGATGTTTCGTTTGGTTTCAGGTTCAGTCCAAGCTCAGTCTGGGTTTCGGTGGTTTGGCCCGGTGTGTGCCCTCAGTACCGTTCCTCCAATTCTGGCCCAAGGCACCCAGAATTGGAGGATCAAAAGCATGCGATAGCATGCTTTTGCATCCGGAAATTCCCATTGGTGGGTCGCTGAAGAAAAGTTCGGCCAAGCCTGTTTGTCAGTATGTGAGTGAGTATGTGAGTGAGTATGTGAGTGAGTTTGTCCAAGCCTTTTTGGACCTGGAGTCAAAATGGGTGGACCGATCGGGACAAAAGTGGGACCGTTCGACTCGTCTCCGGCGAGCTAAACTTTTGGTACTGGCCTCGGTTCGCTCGGTGCTTCGTGGCACATGCTATTCAGCTTCAAAGTTTCGGTGACACGAAATTTTTTTGTCAAGGCTACAGGTCAACCCGAGGTCACGGACAAAGCCACACTGGCGGGACACATCGGTAACACCTTGAACCAGTTTCCAGGGGGGTCACCGTCTGCGAGGGGTGCAGGCTGCACGTGCTGGGGGCGGAAAACCGTTTTGACGTGAGGTCCTCTGGCTCAAAGAAATTTAGAGCTATCAACCTCAAAATCGGTTCAATGGTAGTCCCAGGCAAGGCCTCCAAAATAATGCACATTTGGTTGAGCTAAACTCTGTGGTGCATGAGCTATGCACGTGCAAGCCGAATTTGACCTAGACAAATGCCTGACATTGGTTCCATCACCTTTCCAGCACAAATTACTACTATCCCAAGTCAACTTCGTGGTGCCATCATCAGGGTGGAGCCAGACACTGTCATCCTTCCGGCCGGAGTCGGTGACAGCGAGCTGACGGAGCTGCGGAGCTCACGGGAGACTGTGAAACGCCTGTCAGTTTCTGCCGCCGACCTCCCGCGACTGAGGGAGCAGCTGCCGGAGGGCCTCAGGCGCCTCAATATCAGAGGTGAGATACCACGGATCATGCATGTGTAGCCTGTGGTTGAGTCTAGGGTCCGAAAGCCGATATTTAAAATCACATATTTGCTATATTAGGTAAAACATAACTCAAAACAGGCACAAGTCCGGCCGGCCACTGCTCTGCCGACCCTCTCTCTCTGGTCTCTCGTCAGCTGTCGCTGCCCAAGCGGGAAGCGGGGTGGCGTTGCCCTAGCAACAGTTGCTAGGAGACGGCCGACGGCCTCCTCCCGCGGACGGATGCGGGCGGCGAAACTCAGCCGTCTATATCCGACGCACCATAAAAAACGACACACTGGTACGCGAAACAATCCACGAAAGCGAGCGCTCACCTAATTAAACACAGCACATCGCGGAAGCGCACGTCCCTGGTCCCACGCATATAAGACACCACGTTCACTGGTACTCCCGCACTTCACTGTCCAGTGCACCGGGGCAGCCATCCGATGAGTCAGTATCACCGCGGCGCCTGTCCTGGGCGTGCAGTCAGACGGCGGCAGGCGCGCCCGGAACGCCAGTCCCAGGCGAAGAGCAGTGATGGCATGTCGAGCCGTTGGTCCTTGCTGGCGGTCCCACAATGCGCATGCCAGGCCATGGCCCGCGGAGCCACAGCTGAACAGTAGCCGGAGCAACGTGATATCCGGAACATCACTACAGTTAACTCGCAACGGCGGGCACTAGTTCGGGCGCAAAAGAACACAACGGTGAACACAGTACCCACCACAAAGCGTGTCGATACCCTGCGACAACAGAAACAGAGGTTTGCCTGGTGCAGGTGCTCTTCATCAAATTATCTCTTCTAACCGGCCTGAGAGGATAGGGCAGTGGTGGCTGACGGAAGAAGGATAAGTGCGTTCTCAGAAGTCGCAAATCGGCAAGTCAATGGTGCTCTGCATTATCCCCGTTCACAGGGAACCAAGCGATGTCGTCGTGGCCACTCGGACAACACATGGGTGCTACACCAATACCAAACTCGACAACTTCCTTCTGGTTCTGCACAGTCCCAATAAGCCTTACAGCACACCAACTACGATTTCACAGACCAACTTACAACTCAGTCACAACACAGCATAATGACACATCTCACAATCAACAATCTCTTAACCTAGCACATCACCCGGGAACAAAACGATCGACAGGCTTGGGAATCCGGGAGCTGTGGCGTGGCGCCGGCACCGGCGCTGAACCAGCGTTGCTGGCGGCCACCGGCTCTACGGCCTCGGTGACGTCTGCGACATCAATCGCCAACCCAGCAGCGACATCGGAAGGAACCGTCACAACGGAGTCATCACCTGCAACTGCAATGCCTGTCGACAAGTCATCAGAGACGTCCGTCACGCCAGCAGGCTCATCAGCGTCTGAAATGCCGAGAGGAGCCGGTGGGACATAATCATCTCCTGTGGGCCACACAGTCTGTGGGTGAGACAGACCAGCTGGCCCGGCGGCCAGCGGAGAGCCTGCAGTCCTCCCATCCGGCTGGAGGGCATCTCTGGAATCAATCGCCTCTCCGGCCGCCACGTTCGGGTTAGCAGTCTCTGAAAAGGTAAGGTCACTATCTGGGACCGGAATCACTGAGCCGTCGGGTCTGGGCTTCAACCTGTTATGATGTACAATAACCGATTTTCTGCCACCCAGCAAACGAACTCTGTAATTCAAATCCGACAGCTTCGCGGTCACAATAGCTGCCTTCCACGGCCTGACGAACTTGTAGTATTCACCGCGTGGTACTACAGCTTTGAACAAATAAACAGGGTCACCAACCTCGAACTGATGCTGTGTCAGCTTCTTCTCGTAAAGTCTCTTGTTGCGCTGATGTCTGCTGTTGGAAGACTGGATAGCGATGTCGTGAGTCAGTTTCAACCGTTGCGTGAGCTTCTCCAGGTACTCTGACACAGTGGCTGTTTTGGCCTTCGTTGACGGCACCTGAAACTGGAGAGTGGCAGGCATCGTTGGGTTCCTGCCGAAGAGCATGAAATACGGCGAGTAACCAAGCGACGAATGCACCTTTGCACGGTAGCCCAACATCAATAGCGGCAGATGGACATCCCAGTCATCATGGTTACCGTCCAGGTACTTCGAAAGCATTCCCAAAATGGTTCGCATCATGCGCTCACACTTGGCGTTACCCTCCGGATGATAGGGGGAAATCTTAGTTTTCCCAACGCCTAGCAGGCGACAAACCTCTTCGATGAGAGCTCCTGTGAAATTGGCAGCGTTATCAGAATGAATTCGTCTCGGGCAGCCAAAACGAGAAATAAACTGATTCACCAGGACGTCTGCTACTGTTACTGCCTTCATGTCTGGCACTGGGTAAGCCTCACACCACCTGGTGAAATGGTCAACAACCACAAGCAAATGTCGATTGCCCTGTGAAGTAGTCGGCAAACCTGAAAGGAAATCGATTGAAATGGTCTCCAGAGGCTCCTCAGCGTAAAGCTCGCCCATCGACGCTCTCGGTCGGGGCACTGGGGCAGCTCTCGTGTTGCAGCGCTCGCATCGGCTGCAGAAATCCTTCACGGATTCGTCCATATTGGGCCACCAGAACTCGCGTCTGGCAGTCGCGACAAGGGCCTCAGCACTGTAGTGGCCTCCAGCTGGACCTGCGTGCAGAGAGGTCAGCACACCGGGAACAAGTTGCTGCGGTACGACCAGCTGCAACTGCTCCTCTCCACCTGCACGGGCACGATACACACGGAACAGCACACCGTCCAGCAGCTTCAGGCGGTGCCACTGTCTCAGCAGCGTCACAGCGCTGGGGATCACGTTCGTCGATCTCGGCCTCTTTCCTGTGGACATGTGTCTCGCAATGTCAGCTATCGCAGGGTCCTGGTCCTGCTCGTGGCGAAGAAAGCCATTTGACCACGAGCCAGGAGACACTCTCATGACTGGGACACTCTCTGGTGCAGTTTGAGTCGCGGCATCCTGGGTCACCGGCGGACGTCGGCTCATGACATCAGCTGGTACGTTCTCAGACCCTGGACGAAAGATAATCTCGAAGTCATATTCGGACAGTATCTCCAGCCATCTCGCCAGCACTCCTGAGGGATTTTTGAAATTGAGAAGCCAGCGAAGGCTCGCATGGTCAGTCCTCAGCTCAAAACGCCTACCAAGCAGGTAGTGTCTGAAATGCTGGACGAAAATAACACAAGCCAGCAACTCCTTTCGTGTGGTGCTGTAGTTGCGTTGCGCCTTCGACAGCCTGTGAGACGCGAACGCGATCACCTTGTCCTCTCCATCCTGCTCCTGGAAGAGAGTAGCACCAATGCCTGTGTCAGAAGCATCGGTATCCAGCCGGAATCGACCAGCACCAGCTGAAAACCTGGGAAATGAGACCACTGGTGCACTCGTAAGCGCACACTTCAGCTGCTCAAACGCACTCTGCTGCATGCCACCCCATTGAAATTTTGCATCTTTGTGCGTCAGCTGGAACAGAGGTGCAGCTATTTCGGCGAAATTGCGCACAAACTTTCTGAAATATGACGCGAGTCCCAAAAAGCTCGACAGTTCCTTGACTGTACGGGGAACAGGCCAGTCTACTACCTTGGCTACTTTTTCGGGATCAGCTCTCACGCCACCACCTGACACTACATGACCCAAAAAGTTGACCTCTTTACAAAACAAAGAACATTTCTCCAGATTCAGTGTCAGCCCTGCGGCCTGCAACCTCTGCAGCACCTTATCAAGTTTGGCCAACACATCCTCCACTCCATTTCCATGAACCACAATATCATCAAAATAATGAACACAGTCATTTGGCGTGATATCTCCCAACACACGATCAAGCAGACGAGCACAGGTAGCAGGTCCTCCCGCCAAACCAAAAATCATCCTTCGAAAGCGGTACGAACCGAAGGGTGTAGTGATGGTGGTCTTATCTCTATCTTTCTCGGACACACCGATCTGAAAATACGCGCTGTTCATGTCAAGTTGGCAAAACGTATCAGAACCAGACAGCGCATCCAGCGTATCATCAATACGCGGGATCTGATACACAGGAATCTTACTGCAAGCATTCAAACGTCTCAGATCAGCAACCAAACGAAACTTTCCATTCTTCTTTCGAACCATAACGATTGGGGACGACCATGTGCCATTCGACTCCTCGAGAATCCCTTGGTCCACCAACTCACTGATCTGTGCCTTTACCTCGGCTGCAAGGTGAGGGGGAACACGTCTGGGTGCCTGTCGAATGGGCGGGTGGTCGCCGGTGTCTATGTCGTGGGTGACCACATCAGTGAAGCCGATATGGCCGTCAAACATATCCGCATAGCGGGACAACAACTCGTGGACTCTCTGACGCTGTTCGTCAGTGAGGAGAGACTGATCGAGTTTGGCCAGTTTCTTCACATCAACATCTGTCGACGCCGAGAGCTCCGGTGCCTGCTCTACAAATCCAACCTCGACCGAAGCCAAACTTCGCTTTTTGAAGAGCGAGATCGGCTCTGCTGTCACATTCCGAACGACCACGGGAACACAAGCACGATCAACATTGACAATAGCACGCACCACCTCAACACCAGAGGGGACATCATCTGGCTCAATCAGAGCTGGGCCGACGTAATCGCAATTTGGCACAAGACCTTGAAGGACCATTTCACTACCAGGAGCAATCACGCGGTCACAGCTCAGAGACACGTTGCCCAAACTCACAGCCTGTGCAGAAACTGAGCGAACGGACACGTTGGGAACCATGACAAGACGTCTCCGACTCAAATCGATCACACACGGACAATGCTGAAGGAAATCCACTCCCAACAAACAAGGCACGTCAATTGCGTCAGACACAAACAGGGGAAGGGGGTAAGTGACATCACCGATCTGGAATGGCACTACGACCCGACCCAACAGAGGCAAGTCTTCTTGAGACGCAGTCTTGGCAGTTACACTGGTACGTTTCAGGGTCACATTTGGAAGGGCATCAAACACCGAGCTATGCAAAATACTGATTGAACTGCCAGTGTCCAACAAACATTCGCACTTGACACCAGA